AGAGAGAGAGAGAGAGAGAGAGAGAGAGAGAGAGAGAGAGAGAGAGAGAGAGAGAGAGAGAGACTATAAGTCTCCAACCTTGGCCAACAGGCAAGCTTCCAACCCGCGCCTCACCGCACAGTACTTGGATCGATAGAAGTGTATGGTTCCACGTTTCAGCGCAAGATTCATTCCGCTTCGACTTTTTTTTTTTTTGGTGTGTGTGTGTGTGTGTGTGTGTGTGTGTGTGTGTGTGAGAGAGAGAGAGAGAGAGATCATGCCAGCGCCCCACCTGTCGCGGCATTGCCGCGGCGCGCCTGTGACTTGTATATATATATCGTCAAATATGTATATAAAATATTATATATTTGTGCAAGTGTGCCGCTTCGGTGGCAGACGGGTGTGTGGGCACTTCCCGTTCAACAACACAAACGTGGAGTACCGTGCACCTTCTATTATATAATTTATATTGCTCATCTATTGCACCTTCTATTATATTGCTCATCTATACTTCTTTTGATGATGGATGGTCTGTGATGGTATGTGGATGGAATGAGACAGAGTTTCGGGATGTGCAAAAACACACACACAGCTCTTCCTTCCCTTTCTTTCCTTTTATTTCCTTTCCGGTGGCAGACGGGTGTGTGGGCACTTCCCGCTCAACAACACAAACGTGGGGAACCGTGCACCTTCTATTATATAATTTATTTATATTGCTCATCTATTGCACCTTCTATTATATTGCTCATCTATACTTTTTTTGTCATGGATGGTCTGTGATGGTATGTGGATGGAATGAGACAGAGTTTGGGGATGTCAAAAAACACACACACAGCTCTTCCTTCCCTTTCTTTCCTTTTCTTTCTTCTTCTTCTTCTTCTTCTTCTTCTTCTTCTTCTTCTTCTTCTTCTTCTTCTTCTTATTATTATTATTATTATTATTATTATTTGTCTAGAAAAAACAGCAAACAGCCCAGGAATTGTGATTCTCAGCAAACAGATTAACAGGACATCATTTCTTAAGAAAAGCCTAGAGTTCTCCAACTTGGAAACTGTTCCCCCGAAAACTGAACTGTTCAGCACACAGATGCTAAGTAATCTTAGCCAAAAGGGCAAGGAAGGCATACACAGTATTACACACACAATTACCCAGCTCCTTTTTTCCCTTCCTTTTTCAGACCAGAACCAACAACACTTTCTGTGGCAGTGTCTCCCCTTCCTCTAAGGCCCTACCCCTCTCCACTCGTCCCAGAAAATGCGTCTGTTATGAATCATCCTTGACAGGCCAATGAAGTGCAACCATCCTCGCCAAATGACATAACAGTGTCGCAGGATGGATTGCTGGCAGCTTTCTTCAGAAAACCCCTAAAGCCAGATAACATGCATGGCAAAGGAAAGCCAGCACCAAACAAGGGGTCCACGCAGTTGCAGACGCATTGGTTACCACAAAGTATGTTCAGAGTGGCGGACAGTTGGCATGGGTACATACCATGGTCATTGAAACAGGAAACCAGGATAGCCAGGCAGACAGCTACACTGTAATCAACACCTGCAAGAAAATCATCATTCCATTCGTTGCAGCAGAAATGAGTCGAGTTGCAAAATCTGCAAATGAAAGGGAAACAAAGAGTCTATGGCATGCCAATCGGGACATCCATCAATTGAACGATACAGAGAAGATAAATTAGCATGGCCCCTGCGCAAGGATGACACACATAAATCGAGAAATGGTCCAAACTTTTATGGTACGGTCTGTACAAAAAATAATAGTAATAATGAAAAAAAATTAGAAGAAGAGTCTGTGCCACAGACAGGCAGGCAATTTGCACCGTGCCCCTGGCCTCCACTACTTGCACTGTTCGGTTACAAATTGCCTGCCTGTCTGTGGCACAGACAGCCAGAGATTTTTGCCCAGCCTGTGCCTCCACCTAATGGTCAGAACCACCAGGGCACAGATGATACATTCCACGAGTGTGAAACAGCATCAGGAGGGTGGCAGAAACCGAACTATATGGGCAAAAGTCGCAAAACACAATTCTTTTAGCATTGCAAAGTACTCAGTTCACGTGCAGACACAGTCCAGGAGCGTAACTTTTGGTCTACGTCTATAGATTCAGGGGTCAAAAGTATAGTCTCTGCTCCTAGAGAAGTCTGAGAAAAGTCCTTGGGTCAACACGTACAGGGTCCAGGGTCGAAAGAGGCAGCCTGTGGCCCCATACTTGAGGCAGCATTCAGGCCCAACTCTGGAGAATAGGTCAAGAGCCAGAGATTTTTGCCGAGTCAATCATGGCCGCAGATCTGATGCACAAGCAAAGGCTCTGTACTGTTCCAGAAGCTTCCAGGGCCTACTGGGTCCAGGTGAACAATGGCCGAGTGCTATAATAGATAGGGTAATAGAACCCCCCATGACGTAGGTGGATATAGGTAGCTGATGGCCTGCTGTTTCCAACTTCAAATGGTGAGGATCGACTGTGTATCCCAAACAATGAAAATATCATATTGGAGTATAGAGTAGAGGACAGGAGAGGACAGGAGAGGACAGGAGAGGAGAGTAAAGCTTTATACTCGGAGAATGCCATGATACGGAAAGGCATTTCGGTTGGAGAAAGACATATGCTAACCTGTTGAGGTTCTACATGTGGGCCAAAGTGAAAGTTGACTGTATCAGGTACATACAGGGATGCAAAGTGTGTGAACGGATAAGCTGACTGTGTGGGCACATACAGGGACAGGGGGGGAGAGAGAGAGAGAGAGAGAGAGAGAGAGAGAGAGAGAGAGAGAGAGAGAGAGAGAGAGAGAGAGAGAGAGAGAGAGAGAGAGAGA